TTTATATAATATATATTATACAACAAACACACATTATATGATTGCCCAATACAAAATAAACATACTAAATAGTTTTTAACCCATCCATTTTATTACTAATTATTAAAATTTCACACGGAAGTTAGTTGGACAGTAATCATCAAAACGAGCGAAATCGCCGATACACTTATTAATAGCCTTTTCCCGTGGCAGAAAATTACTATTTTAATTATATTAATTATTTTAGTTTTACAAATTGAACTCGTCTTATTATTGAAAAAAAATCTCATGCACAGTTACCTAACCCTCAGCTACGGAAAACTTGTCCATAAAGAATAGAAAACCTTCTATAGAGACAACTAATATTGTAAAAATGTTCCCCTGAATAGTAGGTATATAGTTTTTGAAGTTGTGGTGTTTTACTGGAGAACTTACTTCTTCCTACGCCATAGGTATTATGATCGTACATTAGTATGTATTCATCTTTAATATCATTATCCAATATTTGATCACGAAATAATGAATACATATGTTCATTAGCTTCATAATCTGGATCGTAACTATAAGAATCTGTAAAACAAATTTTTAATTACAGATATAAAAATTTAAGAACAAGGTACCCAACTCATACCCAAACTATAATCTGGTTTGATTTTTTTTCCCGAAAAAATATTCAAAGGAGATCTTGATATTATAGGACCCCTGAATTTCAATCCATTTAGCGAAACAGTTCGCATTATTATTTGTACCATACGTCGAATCTAAAATAAAATAAACTATATAAGCATTAAATATCATCATAACTCATAACTTACGAGTTATAAGTCATAATATACATAATTAGAATAGACTAGATGACAAATTATTKTACTAAGCCACTAAATATTATTTAAGAATTAATTGTCATAATCGACTTAATATAGTATTCTTGTCCTAACAAGWCAATCCTACTTTACTATTGCTAGTTTAGTTTATTATTGTATTAATTATTTTTTATTTGAGTTATATTTTAAATTTTTATTTTAAGGCTCTATTTAAGTTTTATRGGTTTTTATTTTCTAATTTTTACCTAAAAACTTCAGTGATCACTCTATGTTGGCAGTGATAATTGCAATTGACAATAAAACTTTCTGATTTTCAAGAGATCCTACTCAAAAGATGGTAACATACGATTTCCCATGAGAAAAGCACTCTTTTCTTGGGTTGATTCTAACGATCAAGAAAGTTTGTCAATTGAATTTATTTATTGTAAGGGCATACGAATAGCTYTGTAACCTTTTAAAAGATATAGGCAAATTCGTGAGTATTATCGAGATCCGTGAAACGTGACACGTCCGGCAACGAGACCGTTGATGGTTACTACTACGCCGCTGCGATGAGTGGGACCACAGCATATAGGCTACGGCGCAGCGGCGTTTATTTTCCTATTTGTATTTTTTTGAAATTGACATTTTTAAATTCGTTATGTATTTTGAATGAAATGTCCGAATAATTCAAAATKTTATCTACAATAAATGATTTTTGGATAATAAGGATTCATTTAAAGGTATAGAGATAACTTGATCTGATTTTGGTCGGTATTTCTATCAACTTTAAAAAGGTAAAAAGTATTTATAATAAGTAATATAATTACATTAGTTGGAAATATGATATCGCTCAGTTTTTTGAAGATATTAATATGTTTTTAATATTAATATAGTTTAATATAGTTAAGTTTCCACAGCGCTTGCGATGAAATACATTTTATGGCAATTTTTTACATGGTGGTTTACATGATTGAAATTTTAGTAGGGATCCCTAATTTTTTTTATTAATAAAATAAATATAGCTTATATGTTACTCAGGGATAATGTAGCATTCTAATGGTAAAAGAATTTTTTTAATCTGTCCAGTAGTTCTTGGGTTTATTCGTTACAAACATACACAAATACAATTTTTTTCTTTTTATAATATTTGTATGGATTAATATATTATATTTATCAGTCATCATGTACAAACTACTTATTTTTTAATAACAATGTTATGGTTTATATTAAACAATGAACATACTTAAAAAAAACATTGAAACCCGAAATATCTTAAAATGTGTGCTATTTAAGTTGAAATTATATATAAAATCGATTATATAGATAATATTATTATATCATGATAAAAATATATAATACTAATGAGACTATAAAAGGCTAATAATGTAAATTAAATTACTACTAACTTAATAAAATATTTTGGAAATTAGATTTATGCAGATTCGAAGTTTAATATTAAATAAAAAATAAATCTTTTTTATTTAAATCGTGGCAACATAAATAATTTTTATTAGCTTGTTTTCATTTAGGGGTAGATATGGGTAGTTTAGAACATGCATTTGTAGGGTTAGGATTCGTCACTAAAAAAAAAAAAAACAAGTGGTCACATCCATCCAAAAACTAGTGATTCCAATCGACAATTGACCTCAGCACAAGTTAGTAACTGCGTCCAACCACCGTGGCACAACAGGCTTTTTTATATTGCATTAAAATGGGTATTAACAAAACAATTTTAACCAATTTTAAAAGTCAATGAAATCATTTTTGTGTTCCACCATTATTAACTGTTATAGAATTTTGTACCAACAACTTTTATGTAAATTTAGAAATAATATACTATAATACAAACGAATTTAGTCACTAGCAAATGAGTTAAAAGGATAATCAAATTTAAACGTTGCTTTACATTAGTATAGAAAGGTGCACTATAAGTAGTAAAACACACATGTAATACAAATCTTATAATTACGTTGTTGTTATAAGCTACGTCTACATAGTACATAGATATCCAAATTGAACGGCATAAATTAAAAATATTACCATAATACCATTTACCTTTTTAGCGAACCGCATGTCGTATACTGATTTGTTATGCACATTATTTACAATCTTATTGAGGTCCTTTTTATTATGCTCATCCAATTTATATCCACATGTATTGAGRAGCACGAAAGTTGCATCAACTGAATCCTGGGAGGGAATTTTGATAAAAATCTTTAGTAGTTTAACTACCACAAGCGGTGAAACCTGCATCGATTAATATTTGTCAATGTAAATATTTACAAATATTAAGACAATTTGAAACTTACTACATCGTAACTAATCAAGTACGAAATAAATAGAACAGATGCCAAAAGTACACATTTATCTTTCGTCTTACTTGCATTTTTAAATTGCTTAAGACAACGTATCAAGATTAATTCCCCTATTGTTGGAATCTAAAATCACCAAAATAATTTTTTTTAAATCTTGTTTTATAGAACAAAATAAAATTACCCACCTGGTCGTAGATAAGGGCAATAAACAAAGCATAGATGTAAGTATTACCGGTTGAAGCTAACTGAGCATCCATAACACATTTGCAAAGTATACCTCTACCACGCATAATATTTAAACGTAAAATCTTTTTTTTAATTTCTTTGATTTTGTCTTCTGAGTTCAATTGCTGAATTAAATTAAAGATAGAATTTTCTAATATTTTCCAGGAAGTTATCTGATATTCTTCGCTAAAATAAGCAAATAATTTACAAAATAGAAAAATATAGTGAAATGCATAAGTATAGGTATAACCTAGTTAAATAAGTAATTTATTATTTTAATAATAAATAATAAAGCGGTTATTATTTTTAACAGTGGCATATAGGTACATGGCAAACACGAAGAAATTC